CTCCAAATGTGCCGTGACACCCACCACACTACAGCAACACTCATTCATTAATGACAACAGGAAGCTCATGTGACTAAAACACATTTATTTTTAAGATATCTGGATAAGTGGTATAATACTTTAATGAACGTGTTTAAAAAATATGATAAACTCAATTAATAAGGTTATATTTGCTTCATTATTACTCAATCTGTTAAATCCATCATTGAAATATCTGCGAGCAGCTGTGGATGTGTTCAATCTAATGAGCATGTGCAAGAGGAAAGTACCATTTCAAAGCTCTTTATATAGTAGATTCACTCTTCAGCAATGCTAAATGAACATTGAGTGACTTAAAAAAAAAAGATATTGCAGTGCAGCTTCACTGGTAGAACACAACGCCAGTGATGTCATGGTCATGGTTCGTTTCCTAGGAAACACAAATGTGGATAAAATGTATACGAATAAATTTGGGTTTATTTGGGGAAGGAAAAAAAAAAAAAAAAAACTCAGACTGCTGTTCCAGCTTCAGAAATGCAAAAACACAAACATGTATTTCTTAACCTCATGTGTTTTCAAGATTCCTTGATGAACTGAAAGTTTGAAAGAAAAGCATTTATTTTTGTAACATTATATATATATATAAGTAGACATTACAAAAAGTAGCTTTAGAAATAAATATTTAGTTTGATTCAACTTAAAATGTATTACACATATAGGCAACAATGGCCTAACATAAACTATAGAACATAAAAAATAATAATTTGAGAAATATCTCAATATTATTATTATTATTATTATTATTATTTTCATACAATGAATGTCAGTGATTAACAAAACAGCTTGGTTACCAACAGACTTCAAAATATCTTATTTTATGCTCCGCAAAAGAAAGTAAGTCATACAGTTTTGAAACGACATGATGGTGAGTAAATGATGACAGAACTTTAATATACATATATGGCTGGACCTAAAGTAAAATTTCATTTTACTTAGGATTATCTGTGGCAGAATCAGATGGTTAAAAAAAGGCATAAACATACATAAAACTTGAGAACTTTAAACAAACGTGCAGAATATATTACTAAAGGCCAAGATGCACAAGAATTGCTGATGGGCTAAACGTTGCGGGAAATCGCCTGGGGTTTGACACAACTGGATGTAATCAATAGAGAGAGAGAAATTCAAGAGAGATCAATCACTCCATGTTCTAAAAAATGTGTTTGGTTATAAATCTAGGCACATCTGCCCTAAACCCAGCAAGATTCAAAAATGAAGTTGAATGTGAATTATTGAAATGCGGGTGGGTGAGAGCACAAAACTGTGGACTCAAGGACATCCTCTCCCATATTTTATGATGTTTTTGAAATGCTGAATGTACCATGAAGCCTGATGCAAAGAAAATGTGTTTGACTGTGAGGCCCCATAAGCCCGTGAGGGCATATTCATACCAGTCCAAATGAAGACGGGTTTGCAAGTAACATGAGGTTAGAATGGCAAAGCTACTGACCTCAAATACACCCCTGCTCTGAATATAGAGGCCTTATAGCGTTTGATTTGACTAGAGTTCTTGCATATTCATGGCCCTGCCAGGGATCAGTCAAGTACGGCAGAATTGACTTGATCTGTCACAACTAAAGTGTGTATTCAGACAGAAGCCCCCACCACCACCGGAGGGATTGACCTCTAAAATCACTGTCTGAGAACAGGGAGACGGAAGATAAAAGAAAGGCAAAGATGAGTTGAAGGGCTGGGAAAGAGTTTCGTGGTGGTGCTCGGAATGCAGAATGGACCTCTGATGGTATTATGAGCCATATGGCCCATAAATATGTTGTATTTTGACAAGCTTTTCTTTGATGCTGACATCATTCCCAACCCTGCAAAGCATCCAATTGATCTTCATCAGCGAGTGTTTCCTGGGAGAAATGCATCCTTTAATGGTCCCTACAAATGTTCTTGCACCTATTCATCATGGCCAATTCAGACATGATGTTTCTCAGACATCGAGACGGGGTCGCTAAAGTTAAATATTGCTGACATTTGTGTCACTGCTTTACAGCTAACATGAGACACTAGAGATTTTTCACCAAATATGGGGCCAAACATGATCTGATATTCTAGATTATGTCAGTAATGGCTCTATCCAAGTCGTGGTTTACAATGACTACATAAGAAGAAATATTAAAGACAATAGCTAATATATGAAAGCAAAAATGTAGCTTTACAGAGAGTATGAAATGGTTAGATCCGGAGGGATTGACCTCTAAAATCACTGTCTGAGAACAGGGAGACGGAAGATAAAAGAAAGGCAAAGATGAGTTGAAGGGCTGGGAAAGAGTTTCGTGGTGGTGCTCGGAATGCAGAATGGACCTCTGATGGTATTATGAGCCATATGGCCCATAAATATGTTGTATTTTGACAAGCTTTTCTTTGATGCTGACATCATTCCCAACCCTGCAAAGCATCCAATTGATCTTCATCAGCGAGTGTTTCCTGGGAGAAATGCATCCTTTAATGGTCCCTACAAATGTTCTTGCACCTATTCATCATGGCCAATTCAGACATGATGTTTCTCAGACATCGAGACGGGGTCGCTAAAGTTAAATATTGCTGACATTTGTGTCACTGCTTTACAGCTAACATGAGACACTAGAGATTTTTCACCAAATATGGGGCCAAACATGATCTGATATTCTAGATTATGTCAGTAATGGCTCTATCCAAGTTGTGGTTTACAATGACTACATAAGAAGAAATATTAAAGACAATAGCTAATATATGAAAGCAAAAATGTAGCTTTACAGAGAGTATGAAATGGTTAGATACAACATAAAGAACACTTTAATTCAGAATTGGAGATGATTCAACACTAACTTTCTTCTAATAGGTTATTTCAATAGTCTATGCCTGTCAAAAAAATACAGGATACCTTTAAGATGTACAGAAATAACATGTTTAAGGCATTCGATGTTAAACTCAATATCTTTAAAAACTTGAAAAGTTTTAAGTTTATTTCTGCAAAAAAAATTAAAATAAAGAATAATAATAATAATAAAGATACTAGCAATAATAAAAAAGAAAGAAAGAAAGAAAGAAAGAAAGAAAGAATGAAAGAAAGAAATCCGGTCCAAACCTGCCCTGTGGTAGGTTTTGAACTGCTGTTTTGAACTGGTCAATGTCATTAAGAAAGCACTCTTTTTCTACAATGAATAAAAATATGTAAGTAAATAAATAAATAAAATCTCACTCTCTTCGTATTCCCCACATACCCACTCACACACACAAACATATTAATTTGCTGCAGTAGCTATGGTATTGACAGTACCAGGCACCACAAGGCACCATCTGAATAGGATTTTAATCACAAACATTTCAAGAATCTGATGCAAGGTTTCAAAACCTTCAACAAATATTGCTGCATATTTAAAAATATACAAAAGCAGGACAACTATGTCAGGGCAAATAACAAATCTAACCTGAATTATGTGTCATTCCATAATCTTACTATGTAAGCAGGCTTATGTATAATGCACCATGGCAGAGCATTTCTTTTAACTGTATTTTAAAATAAAGGCCTCATGGTGAAAATGGAACATTAGCTATGTGTGGGTGTCACCTTAAATTACCATGCGCACAATGTATCTGAGTGGATATACCGTAATTTGTAAGACATATGCAGAGGGGGATTTTCTTCAATAAGGACAAGAGCTCACGGTGGATGACATTATATTAAAGAAAAAACAATACAAAACACAAGATAATCTGTGATTGAATGCTAATATATATATATATTTTTTTTTGGTTTGGGGGTTTTTATTTTATTTTATTTTTTGGGGGGGACGGCTAGTTGCAGTGTCCTTTCTAGTGTCCTATCACTATCTACATGCTCAGACTTGTTTGAATTTAGGCCCCTGGAGTCTCTTCAACTTACATTCCTGACCCCAGTCCTGTGCTTTCTAACCTGCCTGAGAAAATGGCTACACTGCAGACTCAATGACTGGTCATTAAAAACATGCAGTTGATAGGTAAAATGAATGGTGTTCCAAGCTATTAGTGAATATGCTTCTATTTAAGTCTCACGGTCCCACAGCTCTGTCTTCACCTTGATCTCTCTGACCTACAATCACACAGCACAGTCTTCCACTCTGCGAGAAAGACCAATTGCCGCAGCAAGGCCACCTCTCTATCCACCCCAATTTACATTTATGTCCCTCACCTGCTTTTATTTATTAGCTATTTTGCATTTGGCGCATCTCCTCTGGAACCATAGACTAGCATACTAGTATTCAAATGAACCTTTGTCTCATTAATGCCAGCAATTTTCCCCAGAGACAACTTATAATGTTTCCTTTGGACTGAGTTTGAAATTCTATTCAAAAATAATCAGCCTTTCCCTACTATGTTACAATTTTCAGCTCTAATGAGTTCTATCAAGCATTTCTGTGGGAAACAATTGTTTTAGCAGTGTGCATCTGTTCAGTTGTTCCTGTGGAACACAACCCTATATTGTTTGGTTTTCTGTCAAGCATGCTTGGTTTTGGCATGTCAATCAAGAACAAACATAGCTGTAATCTCAAGCTAGCACTCTTGTTTTTGTAGACACAAAAAGTTGTTTTGCTAATAATTACTCTTTAGAATTAAACGCCTGATTGGAAGAAGAAGAAAAAAACATCCTATAATCAAAGCCATCCAACATCTCTCTATATGTCACAGTCTTCCTAATATGTACAATGTTCCGTCAGTTGATACATTGTGGCATTTTTCCTACAGTCTTCTTCAGTGAAGACGTGAAATGCTGTTTTTGCTCACATGAGCACACAACCATAAAACCAACAACCTCCCAGTTTTTAAGTTTCATATTTTCATTTGCATATTGCATCCTGACATGCATGCATCTTTGAGCCCTTGTTGAAGCTCAGCACATGCGGCTGTTACCCTCCATTCTACATCTTTCTATCAGAAGGACAGTACAAATGGGAGCTGGAGCAGCAAGTGGTTTAAGAAAGGAACTTGTGAATTACCTGTCTGGTGTGGATTTGTCCAGGTACCTTGTAGCCCCCTTGACAGCTGCACTCTGAAACGCTGTAGGGGTCAGAGCTGCTGGAGGAACACTTGGAGAGTGAGTCACAGCCCACCACGAATGTGTTGTCCAGTGGGAGTTCCTGAATTACATGATGCTTCTTGGGAGCCACAGGGGTCTCTGGTTTGATCTGGAATGCTGGCTGAGGGGAAGCGGATTTGTAGTGCTTGGCTAAGTCAGGACTGTCAGGTTTGAAGGTAGTTGGTGTGGTAGCCCAGTTGTACTTTCCCATTGTCTGCTCCTCAAGTTCAACAGGGAGGTCTAAGGTGCCATTGATATGCTCATGAGTAGAGTCATCATTCTTGGCTTCCTCAATGGTTACGAAATTCAGCAGCAAACTTTTTGGGGACCTCTTCTTCTTCTTCTTTTTCTTTTTAATCTGCCGGCCCTCCTGGTTGGGTGATACCCACTCGCCACTCTGTTTACTCTTCTGGACAACTTTGTGTCTCGGTGTCTGTCGACAGCGTACCAAAGCAGTCACAAAGATCACCAAGATAACGGTCATAGTCGGCTAGTTGCAGTGTCCTTTCTAGTGTCCTATCACTATCTACATGCTCAGACTTGTTTGAATTTAGGCCCCTGGAGTCTCTTCAACTTACATTCCTGACCCCAGTCCTGTGCTTTCTAACCTGCCTGAGAAAATGGCTACACTGCAGACTCAATGACTGGTCATTAAAAACATGCAGTTGATAGGTAAAATGAATGGTGTTCCAAGCTATTAGTGAATATGCTTCTATTTAAGTCTCACGGTCCCACAGCTCTGTCTTCACCTTGATCTCTCTGACCTACAATCACACAGCACAGTCTTCCACTCTGCGAGAAAGACCAATTGCCGCAGCAAGGCCACCTCTCTATCCACCCCAATTTACATTTATGTCCCTCACCTGCTTTTATTTATTAGCTATTTTGCATTTGGCGCATCTCCTCTGGAACCATAGACTAGCATACTAGTATTCAAATGAACCTTTGTCTCATTAATGCCAGCAATTTTCCCCAGAGACAACTTATAATGTTTCCTTTGGACTGAGTTTGAAATTCTATTCAAAAATAATCAGCCTTTCCCTACTATGTTACAATTTTCAGCTCTAATGAGTTCTATCAAGCATTTCTGTGGGAAACAATTGTTTTAGCAGTGTGCATCTGTTCAGTTGTTCCTGTGGAACACAACCCTATATTGTTTGGTTTTCTGTCAAGCATGCTTGGTTTTGGCATGTCAATCAAGAACAAACATAGCTGTAATCTCAAGCTAGCACTCTTGTTTTTGTAGACACAAAAAGTTGTTTTGCTAATAATTACTCTTTAGAATTAAACGCCTGATTGGAAGAAGAAGAAAAAAACATCCTATAATCAAAGCCATCCAACATCTCTCTATATGTCACAGTCTTCCTAATATGTACAATGTTCCGTCAGTTGATACATTGTGGCATTTTTCCTACAGTCTTCTTCAGTGAAGACGTGAAATGCTGTTTTTGCTCACATGAGCACACAACCATAAAACCAACAACCTCCCAGTTTTTAAGTTTCATATTTTCATTTGCATATTGCATCCTGACATGCATGCATCTTTGAGCCCTTGTTGAAGCTCAGCACATGCGGCTGTTACCCTCCATTCTACATCTTTCTATCAGAAGGACAGTACAAATGGGAGCTGGAGCAGCAAGTGGTTTAAGAAAGGAACTTGTGAATTACCTGTCTGGTGTGGATTTGTCCAGGTACCTTGTAGCCCCCTTGACAGCTGCACTCTGAAACGCTGTAGGGGTCAGAGCTGCTGGAGGAACACTTGGAGAGTGAGTCACAGCCCACCACGAATGTGTTGTCCAGTGGGAGTTCCTGAATTACATGATGCTTCTTGGGAGCCACAGGGGTCTCTGGTTTGATCTGGAATGCTGGCTGAGGGGAAGCGGATTTGTAGTGCTTGGCTAAGTCAGGACTGTCAGGTTTGAAGGTAGTTGGTGTGGTAGCCCAGTTGTACTTTCCCATTGTCTGCTCCTCAAGTTCAACAGGGAGGTCTAAGGTGCCATTGATATGCTCATGAGTAGAGTCATCATTCTTGGCTTCCTCAATGGTTACGAAATTCAGCAGCAAACTTTTTGGGGACCTCTTCTTCTTCTTCTTTTTCTTTTTAATCTGCCGGCCCTCCTGGTTGGGTGATACCCACTCGCCACTCTGTTTACTCTTCTGGACAACTTTGTGTCTCGGTGTCTGTCGACAGCGTACCAAAGCAGTCACAAAGATCACCAAGATAACGGTCATAGTTCCAGCTATTATGGCAATAACAACAATTACGTAGCCATTGGTCTGGGGTGTCACGTCGTTGTCCCCAATGTTCCGCTCCAAAGGAGTCTCCAAACTCTTGCGAAGTTGCTCCTGTATGAACGTGGAATTGGAGACAGTATCATTGACAAACAAATGGACAAGGGCGATTGCATGTAAGGACTCAGGCTGTCCCAAGTCCTTGACCTTTACCACCAGCCTGTGGAGACCTTGATCTGCTGCTACAATCTTCTCCTGCAGAGTAATATTTCCTGTCGTTTTGTCAATGGCAAACAGTCCTCTCGGTGACCCTCCAATAATACTGTACTGCAGCTCAGCATTCATCCCAGTGTCATTGTCAATGGCAAATACTCTGGTCACCACTGATCCAGGGCTGGTGGTTGAAGGTACTAGATCATATTCATTCCATATTTACTTGGGTAAGCATACATCAATGCTAATATTCCTGTCTGCAAATATCACAGAAAGCCTTTTATTGACCCTTATGAAATACATTTTTCTTCCCTGACCTTTTCTGACTCCTTTTCTTAAAAATGTAAAAACCATTTGCCAGTCTGACAGAAAATTGCAGATTTAACATTCAAAAACAACATTTTCAACCAACAATTACAAGTAAATGAGCCACACTGCATCTCAAAGTATCCTAATGAAACAGTGAGTTCTAGCCCTATCCTCTTGTGTATTCTGCTTTCCTGCACACAACTTATTGTTTTATCCAACTAGCAAGATTTAGTGTATGGAAGACAGCTTGTGCAGTTTCAACAAGTTCATATGTGAAGAAAGAAGCTGAAAAAGGAGTCAAAGAGATAAGCTTCCATTTTAAATATACTGCAAGACCACCACAGATTAAAGAAAAGTGAAAAACCTGAACATTAAAAAAGCCTTTCTCCCAGCAAGGAGCTAAATCTAGGCATCAGCAAAGCCTGAGAAAAATTAAAACAAATACATATGTAATCCCCCAGAGAAACCAGCTTCGACTGTTTAAAATAATTGCCTTCCTTCCTAACTAGCCCTAATATTTATGATTACAGATCAGGCTGCATGGTATGGCAAAACATCACGCATATTCTATATTTCCGCGGTTGGCAAGCGAGGGAGACAGGGGAACAGTGCCTGAATGAGAGTCAAGCACATTTGTGAAACAAAGAGTCTCTTTGAAGCTCTTTCAGTCAAAACCATTTCATGCTAGAAAAAGAAAAGGCAACTTCCTTAAGAGATAAGCTTCCTGCCTCACATAAAGCTGAGAAAGATTACTCTGTCTAGGCACATATTTCAAATGTGATTACGATACATGTATGCATTTCCCATGCCATGGCTAATCTTGAATAATTTAGTCTGGCACTAACAAACCACTTTTTATTGGCACACTGCATGCAGCCACAAATGAACTACAATGGCAAATGACAATTTATATTTTGGATTGACAAAGTAAGCTTTGTACATGCTAAAATCATGTAAGATCCCCATTTGGTGGTTCTTGGCACACATTAGTGACCATCTGTGGTCTACTGTCAGTACTACCAACACATGCAAAAACACACATAGCAAAACGCATCCAAGTACAGAATTAGCATTAAAATGGAAAGGTTATAAAAGGAACCATTTGGATGCCTACATATATTAGCACATGCAAAACAGCTTTCTTCTTCATTGAAAAGTCAGCACAATTCAACAAAAGTGACTGACGTGAAAATGTTTATGTAAGATTCAACACGTAAATCTGGGAGAAGCAGATCTGTTTGGTGCACTTGTGATTATGATAAAGGTGGGTTACAGTTTGTCAGTTACGAATGCATGCATGGTGACCATAAGGGCTTTTTTTCACTAGTTATCTTTGCTTGTTTCATATTTATACAGGGAGCTAAAACATGGATTAGTTAATGAGTCTGGTTTTAAAATGGCTAGTAATGAGGAGATCAATCATAATTTTTCAAGCCAGGCCCATAGAAAATTAGGCTGGGGAATTCTGATTATCTTTAGACAGACTCAGGTAGAGTAAAGATAACATGAATCACAGTCCCAAGGGAAGTGACAAATGTCTGAAATTAATACAGGTAGTGCATAAGAATCTACATATTCATACCAACTGACCCATAGAGCATTATGAGAGACACATGGGATGAATCTCTTTTGTTCAAGTCGAGACTGACAGGGGATGATACTGGGTATGAGACGATGCCAAAAAACTTGCTTAAACTGAACCCAATTGCCTGGTGCAATCAAGAAATATATGCAAAAGCGAATGTCAGTTATAAATAACCCATAGAGAGCGGTATCTTTACAGTAGAATAGTAGGAATCAGTAAGCTTCATTTTGCATAGTTCAACCCCAGAGTTTGTCTCAGCTTTGCAGACTGGCTGAAGTATCTGCTGTATGAATCATTGAGATGACCTTCTACAGCAACGACTCAGAATGAACTCAGTATCAACAACAGATAAACTGAATATGTTAGATCCTTGCACCATTGTATTGTGTTATTATGTATTATTATGTAAAGCCATAAATATTTAATTTACACTAAATTGTCTGAAAATGTTGTCATCTTTTTTTGATTCACTATGAATTATAATCAGCCATTTGCCAGTAACTAAAACACAAGCGTTGTCTCCTTGGTGAAACTTTGGCTGAAGAATCAGCCAGAAATTAGGCACAAATGAAACCTGGAACCAACTGACAGGTAGTAATGTGATTAGAATCTGCTAATATATCCCCAGCGTCCACTATTGTCCAGAACAGTAGCAGAAATCAGTTTACCTTATCCACTCATCCTTCTAGTTAATGCTCTTTTACTCAGACTGATTCTCAAGGGAGTGAAATTTCAAAACATTTGTATTAATGAGAATCTATACTCTCATAAGCTAATTGTTATAATTAATAGTATTTATTTTATATTCTGTAAGCATTTCATGGGAAACAAACCTTTTGTGAGAAGTGTCAGAACCCTTCAGCTCAACTTCAGGCACAACAATTACCTCTTTTTTCAAAGAGGATGATATTTTCTCAAGAATCAATCGCAAGCCTTTGTGGTGAAATATTCATGGAAACTCTTTATGACATGCTACTTGTCAGCCCTTGATCATTAATGCATCATTTGACTGGCTCTTCTCATTGCCTTGAACAGAAATAACTGGAGAAGTGAGAAGTGAGAAGTTAGAGCTTAAAAAATTAAATAAAATCACACTTTCGATAAATTATTTAAGCCAAATTAGTTTAACTTCCAAGCTAGTTTCAAATCGGAATCAGACACAGATGAAAACCAAAATACTCAAGGCTGACCTTGACTCCCCAAATAAGCAATCCAATGGAGACTTTGCTGCAATGAAAGTCCTTTCGAAAAAGATCTAAAATGTGACGCAGATCTAAAATGACAATGCCAGTGGTCCCAGGTGATTAAAAACACACAAATGGCTTCAAAAGGAGAGAAACGGCTTTCTTAATGTGAGGTTAGAGTGGTTAAATGGCAGGGTAAAAATAACAATGAGTTGGGTGGAACCCACAACAGAAAAGTCAATATCCTCATCCCATGAGCCTGATCTGATCCACATGCCTCCAGATAGGACTTTGTAAAGAGGTTCTCTTTGAGTGATAAAATCTCTTCTAATGGAAAGTCCTCCCCCAGCCATGCATGGCATTACTTTCTGTAGGCTGACCTTGATAGTGTCCAGGGGTGCTTCTGTGCATCGTTCCAGGTGACATGGCAACACTAATGCTGATGGAACAATTAATATGGCGCCGCAATTAAAACCAGGGTAGGCAATAACGGCCCTCTGTGTCATAAGCGAGGGCTTCCTCCTTAGGGGACATGACTGGAATGAGTAAAGAGCAGAAGAGGGATTGCTATCAGAGCTCTTTCAAAGCTATGCGTGCAGCAGCTGTGGCCCACAATGCTAATCTTGCAGCTCCATGCTGACGGTGAGCTGGTCTAAACCATTACTGTGTGGGAGTTTCAGAGATTCGTACTCTCATAGGACCATGCAAGCGCAGTCCAAGAGGTGGATTCACGGCCAGATGCTGCTCGTGGGAGGCTTTCAACAACCTCAGAGGATGAAACATATCCTCCCTTTCCATTTATGTTTACTTAGATCTACCCTCACCTAACTCGCATGCATGATTCATAAAAAGAAACACTATACTTGCAGACGAAAAACAAATTAAATCATCTGAAAGGCAACAGAGCCTTTACATATTTATTGTAATTTTATGAGGCAATGCACTGGTCATTTCCAAGCACAGGCAATTGAGAGAGCCGCAGCAGGCTTGGCATAGAGGGAGAGAAAGAGACTCTTTAAAAATGCAAATTGGTAACTTAATCAGACATGAAAAGCAAGGATTCGCCTAATTCTCAAAAGAAAAGGTACAAATTACTCTTTCACACTTTAATGACAATCTTGGGCTCTTTGTTTCACACTGTATTTGAATTTCACACTGTATTTGAATTTTAATTAAAATACAGGGCGACCTTTCTAGGGAATACTAGTTCATTCATTGAACTACGCTACGTCATAATCTTCCGCCTTGTGACTGACAGCCCAGATGTATGTGAGTGCGCTTAGTGACTTTTTACCACTTCTGGGGTTAATGGGCCTTCTGACACTGTATAAAATGCTAAAATATATACACATGCAACATATCACCTTCTGTATATATTTGAATAGCACGCATACCATTATCCTACTTTTCAGTTTGAGCGGACTATATTAAGCCTCTGAGAATATTAGTATACGCTAGTTTCTCAGAAGACATCAGTTAGAAGAAAGAACTATTCTCCCCATTGTTCATATCTATCTTCATAATTAACAACTTACCTAACACAAAACAGAGGAAATTACTTTTAAAACTATTTTTTATTGCTTACTGTGCTATTTTTATTCTGGACATTAAGGGCCCATTAAATGGCGGTGTCACGTAATAAATCACAGCTGAACGTTGAACTCACCTTGACAAGCTCGTAGTGTTGAATCCCGTTGATCCCTATATCAGGGTCAAATGCGGAAGGGACAGGGTAGCGGCTGTTGATGGCTGTGTTTTCTGGAATGGAGATGTTGATAACAGTCGATTGAAAGAGCGGGGCGTTGTCGTTGATATCTTCGACGAGGAAGCGGATCTTGACAAGTCGGAAAATCTCGTCGGGTAGCACGGCGACCTCGATCTCGTAAAAGCAGCGCTTCTCATTGAAGACTCCGGAACAGAGTTTCTCACGGTCGATGCGGTTGGCTGTGGTGAAAATCTCTCCTGTGCTTGCCTCTACCTTGACCAAAGGCACATCACCCGTCTTGTAGACAGGTTTAAACTGCAGCGCTGAAGACAGTTTAATGTCTGGATCTAGGTTCAAGTTGAGGTCTTTGCGCAGGTTTCCGATGCGCACATTCTCCGGCTGCTCCTCTTTTACGGTGTAGTCCTTCTCTTGAGCCCGGCACATCAAGAACAGGCAGGTGAGTAAAACCACCAGAACATGGGCCTCACTTGCCAAGTCCATACTCAGAGTAGGTGCTGCACTCTCTTCAAAGATCTGCAAAGTCTGCTAGAGGAAGACAGGTGGGAAAAAAGAAAGATGGTCATACTCACAACCGTAAAACACAGTTTTGATACAAATAGATTTTTGATCCTTTAAAACATTAACTTTGTGAGGGAGCTTTTTCACTTTTTCAATAGATTAAAGAGATTAGTTAGCCAAATATATATACAATAGTATGTTCACTCTCGCACCCTCATGTACTTCCAAACCTGTATGTCTTTCTTCTGTGCAACACAGAAAGAGAACACACACAAAAGGGAAAATCTGAAAAAAAAAAATGCTGGTTGTTCTTCTTCCATTTAATGAAATTAATAGAGACTGAGGTTTTAAATCTTTATCCATGTTCAGGAGAATAGCAATGTGAACAAATTTCTCTTGAGTTGGATCTTTTCAAATGACTCACAAAACTGTTCACAAAACTGAGCCACTGGACTGATCCGGTTCACTGTGAGTCAACTTACTGAATAAGACTACTACTAGACATAGTAGTGAATAGCTCACACAGCAAAAGATGGTCATACTCACAACCGTAAAACACAGTTTTGATACAAATAGATTTTTGATCCTTTAAAACATTAACTTTGTGAGGGAGCTTTTTCACTTTTTCAATAGATTAAAGAGATTAGTTAGCCAAATATATATACAATAGTATGTTCACTCTCGCACCCTCATGTACTTCCAAACCTGTATGTCTTTCTTCTGTGCAACACAGAAAGAGAACACACACAAAAGGGAAAATCTGAAAAAAAAAAATGCTGGTTGTTCTTCTTCCATTTAATGAAATTAATAGAGACTGAGGTTTTAAATCTTTATCCATGTTCAGGAGAATAGCAATGTGAACAAATTTCTCTTGAGTTGGATCTTTTCAAATGACTCACACAACTGTTCACAAAACTGAGCCACTGGACTGATCCGGTTCACTGTGAGTCAACTTACTGAATAAGACTACTACTAGACATAGTAGTGAATAGCTCACACAGCGGTAACACAGTTAGGGTTGCCAACCGTCCTCTATTAGCCGGGACGTCCCGTATTTTGGGCCTAATTGATTTGTGCCGTACGTGACCTCCCTTGTGCCATTTTTTGACTGCTGCGCTGATCTAACCACTGACTGATACAACAGCAGCAGTGCTGATCACTTGAGAATGATCACCGATACCTGTCATCATCCAATCACAGCCTCCTTCACGCAGTATAGGTTAAGTAAATCAGAAATCGTGAACATAACTGTTCGAGGAAGGCTGCGGAACCCTCTGCCGGCTGGTCGCTCCCGCCTCACAGCACGCCAATTCCATCCGTGTTTTCACTTCAGTAAATCAGTTGGGCTCTTTGTTTCACACTGTATTTGAATTTCACACTGTATTTGAATTTTAATTAAAATACAGGGCGACCTTTCTAGGGAATACTAGTTCATTCATTGAACTACGCTACGTCATAATCTTCCGCCTTGTGACTGACAGCCCAGATGTATGTGAGTGCGCTTAGTGACTTTTTACCACTTCTGGGGTTAATGGGCCTTCTGACACTGTATAAAATGCTAAAATATATACACATGCAACATATCACCTTCTGTATATATTTGAATAGCACGCATACCATTATCCTACTTTTCAGTTTGAGCGGACTATATTAAGCCTCTGAGAATATTAGTATACGCTAGTTTCTCAGAAGACATCAGTTAGAAGAAAGAACTATTCTCCCCATTGTTCATATCTATCTTCATAATTAACAACTTACCTAACACAAAACAGAGGAAATTACTTTTAAAACTATTTTTTATTGCTTACTGTGCTATTTTTATTCTGGACATTAAGGGCCCATTAAATGGCGGTGTCACATAATAAATCACAGCTGAACGTTGAACTCACCTTGACAAGCTCGTAGTGTTGAATCCCGTTGATCCCTATATCAGGGTCAAATGCGGAAGGGACAGGGTAGCGGCTGTTGATGGCTGTGTTTTCTGGAATGGAGATGTTGATAACAGTCGATTGAAAGAGCGGGGCGTTGTCGTTGATATCTTCGACGAGGAAGCGGATCTTGACAAGTCGGAAAATCTCGTCGGGTAGCACGGCGACCTCGATCTCGTAAAAGCAGCGCTTCTCATTGAAGACTCCGGAACAGAGTTTCTCACGGTCGATGCGGTTGGCTGTGGTGAAAATCTCTCCTGTGCTTGCCTCTACCTTGACCAAAGGCACATCACCCGTCTTGTAGACAGGTTTAAACTGCAGCGCTGAAGACAGTTTAATGTCTGGATCTAGGTTCAAGTTGAGGTCTTTGCGCAGGTTTCCGATGCGCACACTGCTCCTCTGCTCCTCTTTTACGGTGTAGTCCTTCTCTTGAGCCCGGCACATCAAGAACAGGCAGGTGAGTATAACCATGGGCCTCACCAAGAACAGGCAGGTGAGTAAAACCACCAGAACATGGGCCTCACTTGCCAAGTCCATACTCAGAGTAGGTGCTGCACTCTCTTCAAAGATCTGCAAAGTCTGCTAGAGGAAGACAGGTGGGAAAAAAGAAAGATGGTCATACTCACAACCGTAAAACACAGTTTTGATACAAATAGATTTTTGATCCTTTAAAACATTAACTTTGTGAGGGAGCTTTTTCACTTTTTCAATAGATTAAAGAGATTAGTTAGCCAAATATATATACAATAGTATGTTCACTCTCGCACCCTCATGTACTTCCAAACCTGTATGTCTTTCTTCTGTGCAACACAGAAAGAGAACACACACAAAAGGGAAAATCTGAAAAAAAAAAATGCTGGTTGTTCTTCTTCCATTTAATGAAATTAATAGAGACTGAGGTTTTAAATCTTTATCCATGTTCAGGAGAATAGCAATGTGAACAAATTTCTCTTGAGTTGGATCTTTTCAAATGACTCACACAACTGTTCACAAAACTGAGCCACTGGACTGATCCGGTTCACTGTGAGTCAACTTACTGAATAAGACTACTACTAGACATAGTAGTGAATAGCTCACACAGCGGTAACACAGTTAGGGTTGCCAACCGTCCTCTATTAGCCGGGACGTCCCGTATTTTGGGCCTAATTGATTTGTGCCGTACGTGACCTCCCTTGTGCCATTTTTTGACTGCTGCGCTGATCTAACCACTGACTGATACAACAGCAGCAGTGCTGATCACTTGAGAATGATCACCGATACCTGTCATCATCCAATCACAGCCTCCTTCACGCAGTATAGGTTAAGTAAATCAGAAATCGTGAACATAACTGTTCGAGGAAGGCTGCGGAACCCTCTGCCGGCTGGTCGCTCCCGCCTCACAGCACGCCAATTCCATCCGTGTTTTCACTTCAGTAAATCAGTTTTAGTGAATACGAACAACGTGATTATTTTTCATGAGTCCAACATCCCGCCGCGCAAGAGACATGATCAGTAAGGGAAGTCGTCTTTCACTATTGTAATGTTGTTAAATAGAGAAAAACATTTTATATTTAAGTAACTAATAGCATAAATCTTAACACTGGACCTTATTCTTGAAACACAAAATGACCAATGAAAAGGTGTCAACCACCAAAAGCAGCCCGTATTAAATCTATAAGCTGTCTTTAATTGAAAAATACGCATTTTCATGCATGCTATATATAACAAACAAGCAACTCTAAACACAGTGCATATGGACTACTTTTATGATACTTTTGTGGTCCTTTTTTTCTTCACACTGCAAAGAAATGATTTAGTATCTTTGTCTCTCAAGTAAATATATATAAACATCTTAAAACTCATTTTTGTGAAAATGAGAGGGAAAAAAAGATTATTTGCAAATAGTAAGAAAGAAACTTCACAGAAATGTTTTTTCTTTTGTGTTCCAAAGAAGAAAGTCGTACAGGTTTGGATCAACATGAGGGTGAGTAAATGACACAGCTTACATTGTTGGGTGAACTACCACTTTAACCAAGTGTTTTTTTTTTTAAACACAGTGCATATGGACTACTTTTATGATACTTTTGTGGTCCTTTTTTTCTTCACACTGCAAAGAAATTATTTAGTATCTTTGTCTCTCAAGTAAATATATATAAACATCTTAAAACAAGGCAGAAAAAGACAAAATATCCTTGTTTTCACTGAAATCTCAAACTAGTGAGATTTTTGTGAAAATGAGAGGGAAAAAAAGATTATTTGCAAATAGTAAGAAAGAAACTTCACAGAAAATATTTTTTTTTCGTCTTTTGTGTTCCAAAGAAGAAAGTCGTACAGGTTTGGATCAACATGAGGGTGAGTAAATTACACAGCTTACATTGTTGGGTGAACTGCCACTTTAACCAAGTGTTTTTTTTTAAACACAAAAGGTTAAAATAAACTGTTTTAACAAGAGGAATCATTGTTTAAAATGTTCAAATGCTACCAAATACAACATAAAATTGCATTAGAAGGCTGTCCAGATTTCATACTGAACATAATGGACTCTTGTATGCCATTGGCAACACTCAATAGAGCTACAATGCATGTTATCAGATTACAGTATGTTGATATTCTGAGCAGCCAAGATGTGACTGTAGTGTGAGTAAGAGTTCTATGATTTAACGTTTAAGAATAAAGTCCCAAATGACTGTCAATATCCCTCAGAAGAAATGGACAAAGCCATAATTCAAAAACACCAAGACATGATTTATGAATCAGCATTTCAGTGTTTGTTGCCAACTTGCTCGATGGCCACATAAATCCTGTCAGGGCATTATCTAAATAAAAGTAGCCAGAGGGCTGAGGCTTTCACAATGTGCCAACAGCTCAACTAGGTCACAGAGAACTGGTGGGGGAGATGCCTAACACTTCCAGACTCTGGGTTTTGTTAGTTTACAGAGTTGTCCATGCAGTGCTATTTCTGTTTAAATATAGTGCCCTTCACCTTAACCACATCAATAACTCCAATCTGCAAGAGTTTGACTTTCATTTAAATCAAATTGATTGTAGTAACATATAACTAGATCATTAACAAAAGCAATTTTTTTTCAAAGCAGGAGTATCAAATATATCTTCAGCAAATTAATTATTCAAATATAGCATGTTACTAGAGCAACAAAGAAAAATTACAGCTCATGGCATAATGTTTTTGAAATGGGACATCCTGGAAATACTGTTAACAATGACTCCCCATTCGTTAATGTGTCATTAATGTGTAATTTGTATGTGCCAAAAGGATGTTTGTTTAAAAGCAAAGCCGAATGCAGCAGAGATACACGATCGTGTACCTTCAATCAAAAATTCATCACAAGGGCTGATTTCTTTAAACACACAGAGAGCTAAAGGCCCCAATTTTTTAGTTTCAGCTCAAGTCTCAGCTGTCAGCGAGATGTTCTGTTTTTTTACAGTGAACACTCTGTCTGGACTGTAGGGACTCATTAAAGGTTTGTTGGGCAGACGAGCACCACTCAGAGTATTTACATGACAGTGATCAATGGCCAGCTTACTATCTGCACATATTCTCAGACTGTTATGTTGTTCTTTGAAGAAAGTAGTGAAAAATGTTTTGGTTTGCTTTTGAAGATTGCACCATTTTTGAGTCGGCGACAGCAAAGCAATTACTATTCACCTACTGTACTCTGATAAGCCCGAAAGAGTCCAAGGCTGTATCCGACAATGCATAATGAAGAGGACTTACTGGCTAAGGAGTGCATTGCAGAGTAGTGTATAAAAGATGAAAGGACGATCTACATAAAACGCACAATAAGGGCAACGGGACTCCTGTTCTGCAAATTCCCTTGCATTTTTAGATAATCAGTTTACTGTCAACAATAACGAATCACACCGTCCCAGGGAGAGAGAGAACACTGATGAACATGTATAACCCAAAATAGCACCAAATAGTGTAGACAGTATAAGCATGTCACTCCTCCCCATATTTAGGACAGTTTATGTTGTTGTGAAAACTCATGGAGCCATTTTCAGATTTACTCCTGGGAGCGATTCTTTCAAAACTATACTCTGGATGGATTTGCAAAGCTTTGAGTTTCAACTTTCCCAATCTTTGGAAACTTGTAGATCGAGAGTGAATAAAGAGAATTAGCTGGGAAAATTGCACTCATGGGTATCGTTGCGACTTTCTTCCTGCTTGTGCAGGGTTCCAGTGATCTATTCTGAGCGGCGGACCATGCATTCCAGGGAGTATGCAAAAGCCGTCCTTCCCTCCGGAGCCTGGAGTGAGCGGCACACAGACTTTGAAGCGCTTTACGTGACAACATGATGGACAGGCCTGCCTGTTTTTTTATTTTGAGCTGAGCTGTCAAGGAAGAAAATAATTCTACATGTCAACCGTGAGTTCACGCGGAATCTCTGTCTATATGAATCAGCAGGAACCAAATGCTGCAGAGGTGGAAAAATCGATACAGTTCAACCTACCAAACGGGCATCAGATTAAAACTATCAAATTTAATAACTGCAACATCACTATCATAGTTTTATATCTTTTAATTGATTGCTCATATGTACCGGAACAGGCTAGACTGATGCATCATATAAAGTTAGGATCCTTCTGAAATTCACAGTCTGGCTTTGAGTAGCTTTGATGGCGACTACACTGATCCTAAGAACCAATGATCAATTGAATGATCAATATGGAGGTATTAACACACCAAACAGGCTGCCAGTTGCAACGGATAAACAGATGTAGCGAACACGATAGAGTCGATTTAGGGCCGTCAGCAAAGATTACGCATCCAAACAGTCATGCCTGCCATTTATCAATTTATCAAAGTTTCCATGCAGTCAGATGACAAAATAAGTTATGGCTAACTTCAGCCAAGAAGGAACCGAGAGTGATTTTCTTTACATAAAATGGTGCGCCACGAATCATTGAGATTTTGCTCATTTGAATCATAAATAATCATACTAAAACTTTATTTAATTCTTTAGGCCAACACCAGGCAATTTATCGTGGGCACTTTCAGTGGAACAACATGTCAGTTGTTCATATACCATTCTCCCAAATTGATTTTATATGGACAAACATTGCAAAGTGTATAACATGCCAATGAAACTTTAAATCTTAAAGACTGGTATTTGGCCTTTGATGCACCATTCATCTTCAAATAAATAAATTAATGAAATCTATTATGTTTATAAGTTATGAATAGAAATTAGAAGCACAAGGGGATTTCACAAATGAAGGATAACATTTATTACAGGCTTGAAAATGATAGACTTAAATGCTTGCATCGCTCCCTTTCCACTATAGGTTATATTGTTTATTTTATGTAGCATATTTAGAGTACTTATATAAACTATATGTCAATATATATATATTTTTTCAAAGCACATAGTTATGAAGAAAATATTTTCTTTTAAACAAATTAAATTCAACTCACCTTGCTCTAAAACACAAACACTGGCTG